TTTATTTAAAACAAAACGTGATGCTGTTGTCGATGTCTTGCTATTCGAATACTGTAACAAATAATGTTATTAATTATAAAAATATCTTATTCTTTTATTTATCAATCTGAATCTATTTTATAAATAAAGAATGTTCCAATTAGTTCAAAATAAAAAATATATCGAGGGACTTTCAAAATTTGCAATAAGGTAATTTATTTTGCAACTGACAATTAAAAAAACTTGTAATTGAATTTTGAAGCACATTATGTAAAATATTGAGATATAAGCGCCATCAAAAACTTATATTTATCCCCATCTATGATCGAAAGTAATGAATATATATACTCTCGATATATGTACATTGTACATACATACGACACAAGTTTTTTAACTTAAGAAAAACTCTTCTACACAAACAGTAGCAAATCCAAACCTTACGAGAATTTTGAAATACTGAAAATTATTGATACATTCATCAATTTCTTACAGTGCATTATTTTAAGTTGTAAAAAAGCACAAAAGTGATTCAATTTCACTATTACATTTCAATGTCTGTTTGTACGTATAAGTGTTTGTAAATTTATGACGTTTATTAACTACAACTGTATGATCTAATACTTGCAAATCGTCTGCTTTAAAATTATTCGTATTCCATTTTTTGTTTTTATAATGTTTAATAGAAATGTGCATTCTAACAACACTTTAGATAATAAAAGATGACATGACTTAAGAAAATTCTATGTGTACGTATGATAAATAAAAATTTAAAAAATTACGGTCATTACAAAAATTTCAAGGGAGTCAATCGGAGACAGAGATGGAAAATTAAGAAATAATTTTTATGAGCTTAATAAATATTCAGCCTTGTTCATTGAAGTAAGAATTTCTTAAATATATAATATAAATATGTACATTTAAATTAAAGTTCGTATTCATTAAATTTATTTGTTAATACAATAACGAAATTTATTGAACTAAATTATACATTTTCCCATTCACTTTAAACAATTGCAAACATGCGACTTGTTTGACTCAAAATATAAAGTATTTATTCGATGGTGCTAACACATACATAAATACTAGGTATGTATATATATAAATAAATATAGTTTTTAAAATTTTTAAATATTTAAAAAAGCAGCTGGTTGTTTTCACACATTTAGAGATTTTTTTATTTTTCTTCTATTAATTTTTCTTAGATTTTGGAATGTCTATATAAAATGTACAAACATACAAAAAATTGGACATAAATAATATTTAAGTTATCAGGGCAATAACTGTGTCAGAAACATTCCAAATTAGCAACAAGAAATGTGTGTGAGTAGGTTAATAAGTTTTGCCTAAAAACCGCAGATTTTTTTGTTTTTTGAGATTAACGCCAACATTATTATGATCAACATTATTTTCGTATTCATATTCTACAAATATTCCAAAATTATTTATATTCTACAAATATTCCAAAAGAACCAAAGAATAAATGAAGATAAAAAACAGGTGTTAATACTCGTGACATGACAAAAAATTCAAAATCCATTGAAAACGTTACGTTAGTGTTGTCAACACCAAAAGACAAACGCTTTTTTTTATTATTTATAGATAGACTTACATATATACATACAAACAATTTTATTTAAATAAAAGAAATGATAAAAACACAAACAAATGGTAAAATTTACTTATAGTAAAAAATAGAAAGAAAAAACCAAAATAAATAAAAATCTAAATTAAATAAACATTTGGCAGAGTAAGCTCATTTAAAAGAATATCGTCGCTGCGCCTAGAAAATGAGTTATGAAAAATTTGTGTTAATTTTATTTGAAAATAATTAAAGTCAAAATAAATTAAATAATTTATTTTCGTTTAGTATTTAATATGAAGGACATTTGTATACCATGTACATATGTATGTATGTACTTATGTACATTAGGGAGGCCCCAAAATGGAAATTGCCTATGTTCCTGCCGAAAATTTAAATTTAGTTCATTCTATAGATATTCATATATTATTAGTTCGTTCTATAAATATATATTAAAGCAATCTAGGTAAATTTTTAAAAATGTAAATTTTTTTCCGAAAAATTATAAAATTTTCAATATTTTTGACAAACATTTTTAGAAGGATTATGTTAGTACAATATTTTCCCCTATAAAAACGGGCCCACCCTAATGAAAATATCGCTCATTTACTACAAGACTGGCATAATCCAAATTTTGCACTGAGTATTCGAAAATATGTATGTGACATATTAATAAAGTCTTTCATATAGTTTTCCGTATTTTCAAAAATGTCTATTATTTATTGTGTGCGAGTGATTTTTTGTTGAAAACTTCAAAGCTAAAACTCAAGTTTTTAAGTATAAGTTAAAATTAAGTTTAAGTTCAGATGAGAAACATATTAACACCTACTTCATATATCCGGAAAGTTTTTAAATAACTAAATAGTAAAATCTCAAAACGATATTTTTTGATTTATGCCGGTCTTGTAGTAAATGAGTGATATATTGATTTTAATATAATGACAGTTTAACTTCAATGTTACTTTATTGCTTTGAATAAAACGGCTAGTTCTTTTTGTAATTAAATATTAATAGAAAATAATTATATTATTGTATACAAACAACAAGTCAACAAAAAAAGCATACATACAAATGTAATATGCATTTCCACATACATACATATGTATGTATAAAATCAATAATAAAAATTATATTTGACAATAAATAAATTTAAATATAGGTATTTAGTCCTTAAATTTTAATTTACTAGAATTTTAAACAATTTTCCAAGTTGGTCCGAAAACTAATCAGGGCTTTAAACAAAATTTAATTATATTTAGAGGTCAAACTTTGTATTTAATGTTCCGAATTAATACAAATTTCTAATTAAAAATAAACTATGTTTTAATTGATTGAAACCAACCATTATAACATCATTAGCAAATAATATTTTTGAAATAACTTTTAAAGTTAAAATGAAACATATACTAATTACGTATCAAAAATGTAAATTACCTTTGCCAATACATAATTTTTCAAATATGTTTTTCTAAACGCACACATGTACATATGTATATCGAAGTCTTCTTTCATATGGGTCATAATCCAAAATTCGTTTTTTTTTGTCTGAGGGCTACAAAACATGCGAAATACATCTAATATTTTCGGTGTGAGAAAGATTTTTGTTGTAAACTTAAAACTTTTTGACTCATATTTTCACGAATATTTGATAAATACAAATTAAATCTCAATATAGATGAGAAACATATTAAATCTCTACTCTGAATCTTTTTCAAATCCCTTGATTTTCTTAAAAGTTCTTAAAAAAGGTAAAACGTAATTAAACATCCAAAACCATTTTTCTCGAAACGACTTTTTTTTGGATTATGCCAGTCTTTTAGTAAATGCGCGATATCTATGATATTTTATTGTTAATTATTTCCCAAAACAAAAAAGACAAAAATGACAAAATATTGAAAATTAATGAGATTTAGACAACAGTTAGAAATACTTTGTATTTATTATTACATTTAAAAAATAGGTCAATTTGATAAAACTGATTTTCATTCCGTTACATAACAAGCTATTTTTAATTTCAAATATAGAAGTTTTTTCTTATCATAAGAACACAAGCTAATTAAAAGTGAAATCAGTATATTAGATCGTATTCCTACCAAAGTTAAACTTTTTATTTACTACTCCCAATCCTAATCAGATTGTTCTAGCAAAATGGCAGCATTCTATATCATGCAATAATACCTATTCATTATCTTTATTACTTGATTCGAATTTTTTCAGGACCTTTCGAAAACAAGTGTTTTAATCTAAAAAGTGCAGTTATTATTTATAAAAAGTATTTTTAAAAATGGCTTATCGTGAATTGAACTAATCATTTAACTGGCATCTAACTAAACTTTCCATTAATACGAATTTGCCAAAAAAAAACTTATCTACCTGTGTTTTACATTTGTTTTTTCTTTTCATTCTTAAACTAAAACATCTAAAGATGGGAATTATTTACATACATATGTATATCTTTTGCAAAAACTTTTTTACATTTTGAATAATTTTAAATAGATTTCAGGGCGGAATTTTAAAAGACTACAATAACGATATTATCTTTTCAATGGTGCAAAATTTCTAATTAAATTATACAAAAACCCAAATATATTTCAGTTACCATGTGATAAACAAAATATTTTAAATTCATATAAGTTCAGACTTAAATGCATTAGAATTCTGATAAAAATACCGTGTTCCAAATTTACGTCTATTTATATGTATGTATGTGTATGTAACGTTTATCAGTGAATTGATAAGGTTCGAAATTTATATTTATACGTTGTTTTTCTTCAAACTTTATAATCGGTTAAATATCTAAGCCAAAAACAATGACAACTATACTAATTTTAATTAAATTTTGAGATTCCATTGTTTTTATTTTTATTTTAATTAACATTTTGTACTATTAAAAAAATACAATACGATCCCCGAAAATTAAAGTTTAGGTCGTTAGATTTATCTCATTTTTAAATCTTTTTTTCCGATATTATTTATTATTTCTTATAAAATCTTTCAATCGCAAGTGTGGTAAAATGTATAATATAAAATAAACGGAAGTGGTTTCCACTTGCTGAATTTCCTCAACTTGAATTTAAATACGCTTTTGATATCATAAATGTAAATACATATGTATGTTGTATAATAAAATCAAAAATAATATCTTAAAATTTTTAATATAAGTGGCACTAGGTATATCCGATTTTTGGAAACTAATGTCAGTTCCTGTTGGGGTTAGATTCTATTATGAGCCGATTCTGGTAAATTTTAGAATTTTGTATTCACATAAAACTTACTGATCTTGACTTTCTAGTAAAATGTTTGTTAACTTTTAAACCAGCAATTATAATTTAAAATTAGCGATTTAAAAATCAATAGTTGTAGTAAATAACAATAATTTCTTAGAACATCGCTTCTATTGTTTTTTAGCGATTATAAATGAAATGAAATGTTTTTAACTTACAAATTGCACAAGTTTAATAATACCAGGAACAGTTTGGAAATATCCTATATTAATCCTCAGTGCACTTAAACCACCACCTGTTGTGGGTGTCGCGGTTTGTGAGGTTGTGGTGCGTTCAACGGTTACTACAGTTTCCACCATTTTGTTTTTTTTTTAATTATTATTTTTTCTGTTTATTTTAACTAGATACGATTTTATTTGTTTTTATCTATATTTGTTTGGGTGTACGTAATTATAAATAATCGACTTTTTTTTATACCGCTAATTAAAAAGCAATTTTACGTATTTAAATTTATTTAAAACGAAAAAAATATTTTTTTATTTTATTTTAAATTTTACCGTTCTTTGTAACCACCGACCGACTGACTAATGTGAGCGACGCACGTTAATTTACTACTGTTGCGTATAAAAACTTTAGACGTCTTGATGGTTCAATTACTGCGCACGCAATAAGCTGTTTTTTCTTAAAGCTCTCGCTCTCTGTCTCTTAATAAAAACTAAAATTAATACTTTTATTAATTTTAATTCTCACTCTTTTATTTACTTAAAATTTATTTTCTCTTATCAGCGATTTTTTATACAGGTTTGAGTTAACCTCTCTCTCTAACAAAATGTTGTTGACTAAATTATTATACATATTAACTTGGCAAAGAAAGAAAACAATTATTAACTAATACAATGCAGTGCAACAATACATTTATTTGTATGTGTATGTATGTACATACTCCGTAGTTCGCGATGACTGTTAAATAAGAAAAACAGTATTTAGGTTTATTCTCTTTAGATTACCTACCTAGGGATACTAAAATAGTGACTGACTTTTCTTCAGCATTACAAAGCGTACATAATACGTATTAATTGATCCAAAAATATATTTAAACAATTTGTACAGTTTTGGGAAACTTCGATTTATAAGGGGTACATATTGACTCCTTATAAGACTACAGGGAACTTATATATATATGTATATGTATGTTTATCTAAATATATGTACATACCAATTTGTATTGTTTACTAACTGGTTATTTTACTTGGTTTTTCTGTTGGGAATTTTAAATAATTATTCCGAAACTTATTAATAAAAATAAAAAAGCAACTTTGCACAAACCCACAATCATACCGAAGACTTTGTGGAACAGCTTTTTTATTACAAAGTCCACATAACCTACACTCGCATACAATGTCTAATTTGTGGGGATAATGGATTGACTTGAAGGAATTTGAGTGTTTAGTTAAACAAGCTATTTGGACAATTTCTTTACATACGAACGTAATAACCAAGATGATAACGTTTTTTTTTTTTTGTTTTTAAATATTGTCAAATAAAACAAGAGAGAGTGTTATATTCGGCTGTGCCGAATCTCATATACTAACCATCAAACTGTTTGCCGTAAAAGTAAGTCAATTATGGACCGAGCTCTTTTGATTTAAAAAAATATTTATTTTTAAAATCAAAATATTTTTGTTCAATTTTTAAACCGTGATCATACATATATGGACAGTAGGGTCAATTATGGACCGATTGTCGTAAAATTTGATAGAAAAGTTTCGGTTCAAATAATGCTTATTTGATTCGCACATTAGTATTTTTTAAGGCAGTAATGAGCGTTATAGTAATTTTCTGAAGGGGACCTTATGTGGGGGATAGGACCGATTCGCATAAAATTTTTATGGATATTTTGGCTCATGTAAAACTTATTTATGTTAAATTTCGTACTTTTAAGCCAGTAATGAGTGTTTAAATTATTTTCTGAAGGGGAACTTATATGGGGGTAGGGTCAAATTATGAACCGATCCCCATTAAATTTGGTTGAGAGATTTCGGCTCGCATGAAACTTACGTGTGTCGAATTTCATCGCTATATTCGTATTTTTAAGCCAGTAGTGAACGTTGTAGTAATTTTCTGAAGGGGACCTTATATGGAGGGTAGGGTCAATTATGGACCGAACCTCATAAATTTTAGTAGGAAGATTTCAGTTCATATGAAACTTATTTACGTCGAATTTCATCGCTATACTTTTAAAACAGATGTGCCCCTTAAACTATATATACACTGAAAATAATCCATGCCTAATATACGAAATTCTTTCGTAATATATACGAAATTGTACGAAATATTTTAGTAAAATGCAAAATAATTTTATATAATTTTAGAAAAAAAATTTGTTCATTTTACGATTATTTTAAAGACATAAATATGCTAGTTCTTTTAAAATAATTATTGTAAATTTAGAAAAAGATTGCGAATTAAAAAAAAAAAAATTTTGTATGTCTTTCAAAAAAACATAAAAAATTTTACAGGAAATTTTAACTCGCTTAAAATTACGAAAATTACGACAGGTTTTCGTACTTTCCTAATATTAGAAAAGGGGTTGATTAAACAATATTTCGTACTATACACGAAATTTTCGTATATATTTCGAAAAAAGTAGTTACGAAATTTTTTTTCGTAAAGTTAAGCATGGATTATTTTCAGTGTACTTTTGTGGGTCTATAACCAATATTTCGATTTGTTACAAACGAAATGACAAAGTCAATATACCCTTCATCATTTTTGATGGTGGGTATAAAAATCTCTTCCGAATGCCTTCAATATAGGAATAATGATATATTTGATATACCTTAAGCATAATTTTAAGAAAAATACTACTTCGTTCTATTTAAGAAAGTTTTATTCATATACATTTAGAAATTTTCATTTATTTTACTAATATTTCGAAATAAAACAAAATAAACTAAAATAAAAATACTTTGGATATTATCGACTACAACAAGAATACGATTTTGAAATTGTTAAAAATCTTGAGATACGGGTTAAAAAACCGGGGTTTCGTACCTTCGACAATTATAAATTTGAATTTATACCATTAAAATAAAGTTCTGTTCGGAAATGCATCACTGCACTGCCATCAGATGTTTAGTCTGCGTTGCTGATGGAAATTAACTGATGCGTAGACAAAAGACTTACATTTAAATAAATCATCCATTTTTATGATGCGTATTTCGACTTTTTTTGCATTTCTGTGATGCATTTTCAAACTTACTGCGCATCAGATTCAGCGCAGTGATGCATATCCGAACAGACCGTAATCCTGGTTCACTTCTTGACATCAAAAAATAAATCGTCAAAATGAGGTAAAGGTCCTATTTCACAATATAAATTGGAACAACAGAACATTATAAATTTAAACGCGGAGACTTAGTTCGATTTATATATTGGAACGGTGCTTGACGTAATAATTTATTCTAATAACTTAAATTTTATCATATCTACATACATATGTAAATATATATGTATGTGAAGGTCCATGTTTTTATAGAAAAAATTATTAGGATTAGTCACATCATTTAGTGACATGTTCTTAAAAGACATAAAACTGAATATATTTAAATGGAGAAAAACAAAAATTGATTCTCTTTTTTACTGACTTACATGCTCAAATGCCGATAATACATCACAATTACGACTACAACATTGAAACAATGCCGATCGTAATGTGTGACAGGTCTTATATAATAGTGAAAAGCAGTTTCCAAATAAGCAGTAATCTAATTCAAGTAGCAGTAGTAGCTAGAAATAATACACATTTTCTTTAGATGTTTCCATAAATTTTCAAAATTTTATTGATATTTTTAGTTGTTTTTACATTTATTTATTCTTGTTTGAATATTCTTTAAGAAACGAGCATTATCTTGTTTTATTTTTTTTCTCTAACAGTTTAATAAAAATTAACTAAAATTTTAATATTTTAATATGACGTTAGACAATTGAAATTAAAATTTTGAATTAATTTTTTTTAAGTTGTTAGCAAGAGAGGAGATTAAGTTAATATTTGAATTACTTAATTAATTTATATAAATAATTTTTTGTTTTAGTTAGCTTTGAAAGTATGTATTCATAAACATTTTTATACTTTATAAGGAGAACACGCAAAAAATTTACTTAAAACAAAAGGTTAAGCAAATTTTTATTTATTTGTTAAAGAAACTAAAATTAGAAAAAATAAATAAAAAATATATATGTATAGTTTTTACATTAAATGTTAAAGTGGATTGATTTTTTTCGTTATTTGCACTTTAACATACATCTTAACGTAAAATAAGGCCTTGGACTCTTTTCATTATACGATAGTTGTGTTTATAATAAATTTCGAAAATGTAAAAAATAAAAACTATTACATTAAGTAAAATGTTTGATTTTTTTAAATTAATTGAAAAAAATGTTGCGTTTTCATAAAAGATTTTGTTGTAAACACACATTTCAATTTTTGAATTTTCTTTTAAATAAAAATTAAGAGAAATGCGAGTATTTCCGTTAATAAAAATGACGCCATAACTGTTAGTTATTGTATATTTGTAAAATAAAATAAAACAGTTAAAAATGTTTATTTATTTTATTATGAAAGGATTGTTTGGGATTATTATCATTTTAATTTTTTTATATATTTTACAGATTATGGAGTGTCTTTTGTTTAAACGATAAATCTACGATGGTTACATTATATTTCGTGTTTCTTTTTTATTAAACATATAAATCTTTGAGCAACTAAATCAAATTAAAAAGAAAACAAATGAATGTCTATTAAAAAATACTTTTAATTATTAAGCCATATTATTAACAAAATTGTTTAAAAAAGAGTTGATCCCTTTTTATATTTTTTAAGTTGTGTACAATACTTGATTTTTTTTATTGCTTATTAAAAAATTAAAAAATAAAATATTTGATATATTAAAAAAATGAGCACAACTTAAAAATTGGATTATTTTTAGAAGCAAAACAGTTGGTGAATGGAGGGCAGATAGAGAAAATAATTTGTATATATAAAAAACAATTTCTTTCTTTTAACATTTGTTTATAATAATTAGAATTTCTCTAGTGATCACTAAATTTCAATATAAAGAGGATGATAAAAAGGCCATAATAATTTTAGTATTCTATGTTGCATTTTCCTCTGATCTTTAAAGTTCTATGCATATTCAATTCAATTTGTTAGTGTAGTTCTTTTTTTACTAATGAATTATTACAGTTTATACGAAGAATTTCTGAAATTAGTGCCTCTGTTGTTGTGATAGAGTGACGTCACGTCGCCTTTTATTTAACACTCGCTTTGCGAGAAATCTACATCCTTCTTTACACTCCTCGCTAGGCGATCCAACTCTGCGGCTGCATCTGTGCGCACAGATAATTTATCGGGAGTCATCATACTATCAGAACCATTAGTTCTAGGTGTACTCATGGCACCAGGCGGTGTTGCTGGTGAACCAGATTTTTTGTGCAACAATGAATTGAAGAAATTCGCCAAAACTCCTTCACCTCCAGGAGTAGCTGGATTCATTTTAACATCAAGCTGTTTAGAAGATGTGTTAAAAATTACATTTAATATTAAAAATAATACTTATAATCTTAAATAAAATAAAAAAATATAAAATCTATAACAAAATCAACTGCATTTTTTAATATCGTAATTTTAAAACAAATAAATATATTTACATATTTTTAAAG